AAAAAAAAAAAAAAAAGAATCTTTGGGACAAAGGGTCTTTTGGAGGGTTGAGAATCTCTGTAGTAGAGAATTCCATCAGCCAAGCCAGGTTATATATTTCATGTGTGTGTTCAAAATGGACTGGGATTTGTGTGTGTGTGTGTGTCTTTGTAAGGTCATGAGAGATTCACCTGATTCACTTAACAACCGTTCTTAATTTTAACAACGGCGGCGATTCGCTTAAAAACTGTGGCAAGAAAGGTTGTGAAAGGGGGGGGAACCTTACCCAATGTCTCACTTAGCAACAAAAAAGGGGCTCCACCGTGGTCGTAAGCTGAGGACTGCCTGTCTCAGCAATTATGTCCGCCGTTTCCCATTTCGCTTTGGGGGATAAGAAAGACTCACCCAACTTGTAGATGAGGACTAAGCCGGCGGTCCACAGCGTGTCCGGCACAAGGAGAAGCTCATGGAAGAAGCCCAGAAGGTTTAAGTTGCTCTCCTCGGCCTGGCTGCCTCGAGGAGAGGGCCTCAGGGGAAAGGTGGAGGTGAACCAGCTGGCTGCAACGTATACGAGAGCCAGGTAGACGAAGAGGGGTCCCCAGCCCAGGTGATGGAGGAAAGTCAGCAGGCCTCCTCCGGCCAGGACGGAGCCGAGTTTGTAGGCCACCACCTGGATGCTGTTGCCAAAGCCCAGCTCCTCGCGCCCCAGCATCTGGATGGCGATCCCGTCGGTCGCCACGTCCTGGAGGGAAGCGAAGAGGTTCATGAACAGCAGGGCGACGGCCACTCCGAGGAAGTCCACCTCCGGGGTCAGGAAGGAGCAGGCCAGGCAGGTGAGGGCCAGGCCGGACATGGTGAAGATGAGCCAGGCCTTCTTGGAGAAATACCAGTCCACGAAGGGCGCCGAGAAGACCTTGAGGAACCACGGCAGGTAAAGCAGCTTGGTCAGGCTGATCTTGGTGAAGGAGAGGCCCACCGTCCGGAAGTAGATGGGCAAGAGTCCCGACTGCAGCCCGTAGGGGATTCCTTGCACGAAATACAGCAGGAAGAGGAACCAGAATTTCAAGCTCATCGCTCGCTCCTGGTCCACCCTGCAGGGAAAGAAAGAAAGTGCGAAGTAACCATCCTCTGCTACCCAATGTGATGTTCCCGTGGTTCGCCCATGAGGCCAATGTTGAGAAAAGACAGGACACGATCTTTCTCGGGATGGAGCGACAACCCAGATTGGGGGTCTGAGAGCCCTTTTTA